ACCAGCTCTGGCTAATTTAAGTACAAAAGGAACTTAATGACAGAATTTTAGCTTCTCACAGAACTGAAAAGAAGGTTTACAAATCGGACTCATAAAATGGCAGGTATCAAGAGATATTTGCTGAGTTGACAAATTTAAAACATAATATTTGATATTAAATTAAATATGAGGATATATTAGTACAGCAGATATATTAAATAGTTACAACCTATGGGACATAATCAAAATGCAACTTTATTTTTACTTTCTACTGCCTATTTTATTCCAGAAGAAATTTTTTTCCTGATACTAGATTAAAAATCTAGCAGGTCCAGTAATTTTATCACCCTTAGGTGGTAATAAGCCCCCACTTTATATTGCAAAATGCAACCCTGATTTTGAAGTCAAAACGTCTAGTTCAATATATTAATCAATACTTCAATCTTCAAAGTTGAGACTTTCCTGCACGTGCCTCCCACCCAACGCCTATGTGTTAGTTTTCTATTGTACCTGAAACAAATTATCGCAAACTTAGTGCCATAAAACAATGCAAATTTATTATCTTACGGTTCTGGAGATCAGAAGTCCAAAATGATTGGCTCAAAACAAGGCTGTGTTCCCTCCTGGAAGCTCTGGGGGAAAATCATTTCTTTGCCCTTAATAAGAGGTTACCTTCATGGCCCCCTTCCATCTTCAAAGGCAGCAATGGTGGGTTGAGGCCTCACATCTCATCACCCTGACCTTTTCAGCCTCCCTGCTTCACTTGTAAGGATCCCTGTGATCACGATGACCCAGTGGATAATCCAGGATTAAAAACAACACCTGTTGCTGTCAAGTAATTCTGACTTATAGGGACCTTGTAGGACAGAGTAGAACTGCCCCACAAGGTTTCCAAGGCTGTAATCTTTATGCAATCAGATTGCCATATCTTTCTCCAGTACAGCAACTGGTCGGTTCAAACCACAAATTTTTCAGTTAGCAGCTGAGTGTTTAAGCACTGTACCACAAGGGTGCCTTATAACCTAAGATACTATATTTTAAGGCCAGCTGATTAGCAACCTTAATTACATCTGCAATCTTAATTCCCCTTTTCTAAGTAGCCTAACATATTCATAGTTTCCAAGGATTAGGATGTGAGCAAATGTGAGGGTCATTATTCTATTATAGCCTATAACCCAGTTCAAAGAAAGGTGATCCCACAGAATGTGGAAAATTATAACTCAGCAGTCAGCCAAAAGACAGCCACTGGTAAAGACTAACAGAGTAGCAGCACCATAAAAAAAAAAAAGGAGTAAGGGAAACAGCATCACTGGCAGTTATGGCTAGTTTAGGCTTGCGCTTTGCACTAGTTCATTCTGGTTTAACCCCCTGCTGAGAATTTGCCTTTCCACCAGAAATACTGAATCAAAACCTACATTTTAACAAGATCCCATGTGGTTCTTATAGATCCCCAGGTGACTCTTATGCATAAGAGAGCTCTTGTTAAAATGTAGATTCAGAGTATCTGGGGTGAAAATGTAGATTCTCAGCAGGGGTTCAAACTGGAAAGAACTGGTGTGAAGCCTTGGTTAAGATTGTAACATACTGGGTTGAAAGAAGAGGCTGTCAGGGGTGGGCATATTGAGAGATTAAGCAATCAACTAATTTAACTTGTTTCTGCCCTGAGAGAATCCCTGGCTATACTTTCAAGCCTCAATCCAATTAAGGGGATGATCAACTGGGGAGTGGCCCACAGAATCTCCTATAAGAAGTGATAATGGCTCAGTAGGATATAGTGGAAAGAAGGCGCCAGGTAACAAAAATCTCCATGTACAATTCTACATTTAACTAGCAAAATGAAAACAGGTCTTGCTTTCACCAAAGCAGACACATACCATCATAAAGAAATAAATACTTCTTGATGGTATTTAGCCACGTTGAACTTTTTTAATGTGAAAATACCACCAATCCTGAAACCACTCACAGGAGGACTGCCTGATATTCACAGTTACAGGTAGCTAGAAATTATGAAGTTGAATGCTGTAGTTTTGGTTATTGGGAATGAATCTGTTTGGAAAACTGTATGTCACAAATGTATACAATGAAATCCTTACTTTGAAAATAGTTTTCAATTTTTATTAATGAAAAATCAGTGAATACCCAGCTTCTCCAAGTACATGTTGAGCAAACATTTAATTATCACTTGATCAGAGGGAAAACCAAACTACTGGCCTTCTTTAGATATTTTTTGGCAAGTAAATTCAATTTCAAGTGGGTTAGTTTAAATATCATGGCATTTTTCAATCTAGCTGTTAGAAGGTTTCCCCTGAGGTTTTTAGATACATGCAGGCTACCGATGAGAAAACTGATGCCTGATGATCTGCCGAAAGTGAAGCACTATGCTAGGTGTGAATGATTTAGCAGTGAATAGGAACAGGCTTTGCTCTACACACACACACAGATACACAACCCACCACCACCACTACCACCACCACCCCCCCCCGATTTGACAATTCAAAATAAGTGTTTTCTATCATAGGAATGTTCACTGATTAACAATTTAATAGCTAAATGTAGTTTTAAGGTAAATTAAAAGTGGAGAAAGAGCCCTGGTAACAGAGGGGTTAACACTCGGCAACTAATTGAAAGGTCCGTCATTTGAACCCACCAGCTGTTACTTGGGGGAAAGACATGATAGTCTGCTTCCATAAAGGTTTACAGCCTTGGAAACTCTATGAGGCAGTTCTACTCTGTCCAACAGGGTCATTATGAGTTGAAATCAACACCCTGGCAATGCGTTAACACGTTAGAGATGGGAAGCAGGAACTTACTATCACACGGGGTAAGTATTAAGTCAAAAGGCCAGCATTCACCAGTCTACTCAGCCTTGACCACGTCTCATTGGATGGTATCCCATGAGAAAACAGCTCCATTTCAGTCATTTTTCCTTTCCTTCAAGGTGCTGATGTGGTCAAATGACCTTTGCTATTTCAGAGCTTCAGTCACTCTCCTCTGCATAGCCTGGTTTAAGAGATATGCATTGGCCCCCTTCTTCCCACAGTTCAGCCACTCCTTATGAGAATTCCTATCAGCTCAGAATAGCCCTTACACTTCCCTCTCAGATCAGAAGTCAGGATAACATACTGCTGGGCTTTTATCACCTGTCTAATACACCTCCACATTTCAGAAAACATTTCACACATAAGAAGAGTTCAGAATTCTGGGAATCAATCTGCATTTTATTTTACATTCATAAGTTCCTGAATTTCCAAGGTGACCAGATCACATTCAGTTTAGCACTGCTGGTAACAAAATCATACAACGACCCTGGCTTCAAAAATAAGATAAGGTGATATACATTAATTAATACTTCTTTCCCTTTAATACTGCAGAATACATCACAAAATAAATTCTCTAAAACCACATGCCTTTTATAATCCTGGCTGAAGGCATATTATTTATGTTAAAATTAAACCATATGAGACATAAGTAAAATAAGAAGACCTTCAAAGTTTAAGACCTTTAACATGCCCCCCACCATGTTCTTTGTCTTTTAACTGCCAGTTGGCACATTTTAGCTTTAATACTTTGGGAACAGAGAAAAAGAGCAAAGTAAAAGATCATTTAATTCTGAAACCCATGGCTTTGCAGGTACTCCTGTAAAAATCAATTAAATAACCTAAAAATCTAAAAGTTAGTACTAAGAAGTGATGGCAATAGAGGAAGCACCTGGAGAAAATTCTGGTTTAACTTCGTTCCCCAAAAATATGAGTTATAAATCCTAACCTCTAGGCCTGTGGTTATAATCTGATTAGGGAATGAGGCACAATTAGTGTCTTGAATCAATCCCTTTTGAGATATAAAAGAGATTAAACAAGCAAGCATGCAGCAGAGATAAGGAAGAGAGAAGATTACCCAGCAGTAGAGTATCTCTTAGACAAGGACCTTCCTCTAGAGCTGACAGGGTTCTAGGCTTCCCCTAGAGCCCAGCACCTTGAGTTTGGACTTCTAGCCTCCTGAACTGTGAGAAAATAAATTTGTTTGTTAAAGCCATCCACTTATAGTACTTCTGTCATAGACGCACTAGCTAAGACACAAGGGATGGCAATGTAGGAAGTACTTAGAGAAAATTCCTAATCACTGATGGTAAATTGAAACTGTAGACATTTCACAAAATTGGAAAAACTATTGTGAAAATATATGTTCGTTTTGCTGAATGAAAACAGTATGATCTGTATTCTATACTCCTGACCAGTTTGGGAAAACAGCCATCACCCCTACTTGCAATATCTTCTATGGACTGTGTACATCATTATAATCAAAGAATGCAGCTGACCAATAACCCTAATCTTTGGAGAATGTAAGAAGCCAAACTGAGCTATTAAAAAAAAAAAAAGGATGTGAACAAATTACATAGGAGAAAAATCCATAAGTGTGAGAAAGCAAAATGTTAGATTTACTTGGGTCTTTTTCCTAAATAGTATTGTTATGTTTTGGACGCTGGGCCAACACAGCTGGAATGATAACATTGAAAACGTAAGCCTCCATCCCCAAAGACAGTGTGCTGTAGGTATAATTATCAATTAACTGCATCATTAAAATTATATGATTCAAAATATACAAAGACTTAAAAAGCCCCTACCACTTGCTGCCAAGAAACTGTTAAGTCTTGAACTTATCAGACTATGAATGAAATTGATACTCATATTTGCTGACCTCAACAGAAATACCACCTCTTTCAGGCTTGAAAAATATGTTGGACGAGGGACTAGGACACTTTTTAGGAAAAGCACAAAACATTTTATGAAAAATCAGAGCTAGTGCATATTTTACAACCCCCAAAGGAAGCCTCCAGCAGCGGCTGAGCAAGGGGAGAAGTGATGTTTTTGAAACCACAGTGACCTGCAGCTAACTGCCTCACAGTAAATTCACACAGTAAAATGCAGAGTGAGTCAACACATAACCAAGGATTACATTGTATCTACAAATATGTTTTATGCTTTAAAAAAAAAAACTGCAATGCACGCCAAAAAAATTTTTCAGATAATTCATGTACAACAGAAGGCACTGTTATCCGCATAAATCCACTGATTCTGCATGGCAAAAACCTGAGACGTGCAATTCAGTCCAATCCTCTAAAACCATCTTGGTCATTCTCCCCGTGGAGCATTATGGTTTGTCCTTTTCAGTTCAATGAGTCTGTCTACTTTCATACATTACAGTAGCTGTTTAAATTACGTTTTCAGGTGAGCATGGTCAAAGAGGAAGAGGAGAGTGGATAAAAGTGCTGCCTAAGCCAGACAGTAGCTGGTACAGCAGGAGGACACCAGAAAGGCAGCCTCCTCATTTCCTCCCTTTGGCCCTCACATCACCCTTGTGAAATAAAATATAGTGAACACCTTTGGTCGGTTGATGTTTCCTCCTTCAGTTGTTGCTGGGCACCGACCCAAAGTTAAATGCGGAGAGGACTCCTTTGTTTTCAAATGTGAATCCTCCCTGTTGTTCAATCTTCTTCTTTGCCTCTAGCATTTTCAAAAAGAAAGCCAAAAAAGAAAGGAAGAGTACTTAAGGTGACAGAGTTGGAAATATCCTTAAAGGAGCCAGGTTCTTTACACTTAGATGTGTGAAGGAATGTAACTCACAGTATTAATATTCTGCCACGTTAAATCTTAGCCTTTAACAGACCCTTGTCTGTAAATGATTTTATTTACCATCATGGAAAAACTGTTTGCTGAAAATGATCAAAATGAAAACAAGTTTCAAGTTGGTTTCTATTACCTGCCTACTCTACTGCTCAAAGGTCTTCCGGACTTCACACATCAGGAGGTCTAGTACAGAATCTGTGCAAGACTGAAAATTAAGTATATATGGAAGAACCTTCATTCTAAACTCTAGATGCTTATTCCATGGCTTATTCCATGGTTTGTAATTACAAAGACTTTCCTTCTAATTGCCTAGGAGTGACCATAATAATTTCTCTGGCTCAAAGAATCACCCACACATAAAACCCATCAAATAGAAATGGAAGTATTTCATTTCCAGGAGCCAAGCTCTTTGTAAGAATTCATGCCTTTGGTTGAAATGCTTAGATGGGTGAGCTGATGAACTCTTCCTCAGCAAGACTCATCCCAACCCTTTGGTTCCATATTAGGACAAGGATGTGAATAAGAACACCACTAACAGACACACATTAATGCACAGATGTTTGCAGAGCTAAGATATAATTAGTTAAAAAGAAGAACAATCATACAATAATGACAATTCCTCATTATCTTGAAGGGCTGGCCTCTAGCAATTTTAAAAACAGTATTTCGATGCCACCTGGTTCATAAAAAAAGCTGACTACTGGCACCCTGACGCATCCACTCCAATGTGGAAATCACTCTGGCTGACCTGCCACCGTCCTTCGGTGCTCTGCCACTGTGTAAACCTCCTGCAGTGCTCTCCTCTGATCCTCACTGAGGGGTGCCACCAGCAGTTGGTACCAGGCAGCATCCCGGTTCTGCACAGCTGTTGCATTTTAGGGATGGTGTAGGGGAGAAAGAAAAGAGAACCCAGTGACAATTATTGTTTCAGAGAGTAACTAATTAATGACATAACCAAATTACAATTATTTCAGATTATTTCAATTAAATTATTACAGTACTGTAACAAGCACATGGTGATTAAACTCATTCAAACAAAGGATTATTTCTCAATATCACTTAGTACCCAACTATGTAGAATATCAAAAGAAGTTTGGGACACTGCAAATCACTGGTTTGCCTACTTCTCTGACTTTTGCCTCCTTCACCATCTCTTCTTCTTCCTGAAGTTTTACTACAGATGATCCCTAAAATTCAGATCTTGGGAAGCACCTGTACTCCTCATTACAATTTTCCTGTGGAATTCTCATACTATCTTCACCTCCAGCATCTCACCTATACCAAGGACTCTAATACGCACCTTCAGGCAAAATCTTTCTTTAAACCTATTGGACTTTTCCCTTTGGAAAGTTCACCTCAAACTCAACACATCTAAAAGCAAATTTACCATTTTACCTCCAAAACCCTCTTCACCTTCCCTTTTCCACTGCTAGTACTATCAGTCTCCCAATCAACCACTTTAAATCTTTGACATCTGTGAACATGCCCTTTGTACATCATGCTCTGGTTTTCACTCAACATCTTTCACCTATCTGCTTTTTTTCCATCAAATGCTACCTTCCTACTCCAGGACCTTATTACTCTTAAATTAATAATCTTCTAAACAATAGGTTGTTTCCAAATCTAGCCCCCGTTAGCTCTTTTATGTATTATCATCTGATAACTCCTCAAATAAGCTACCACATTCCCAAGCTTATACCCTTACACAAAGACATTCAAAAACATCCATTGGGCGATGGAATAAAGATCACCCAAGTTCAGAACTCAAGACTGCTAGAATCTGGCCCCATTTTATTCCTTGAGCAGGGCATCCCACATGCCTGCCCAATACTGGCTGTCTAAGCATCACTTGAGGAGGATTTTTTAAATACATACCTCAAGATTCTGCCCAAGACATAAAAGCTTCCTTGGTGATTCTGACGTACAGCCATGTCTGGAAACTACTACCCTGGAACATGCCCTCCTTATACCCATGTCCACATTTATGCCTTTATTTTGTCCATGTTTTAGAATATACTTTACTATATTCTCTGCCTCTAATTCCTGCCTGCCTTTCAAAATCCAGACTAAGTTATAGTTTCTTCCCTTTCTCTAACTATCCAGGCCACTAAAATGTTTCTCAGCTCTCAACTCCCAAAGAATGTATGTTGTCACTCTTTTGGCACTTACGTGTAATACCACACTATGGGTTTCTCTTCTTTAACTTAGAACAAAGTCTGACGACTTATAAAATAAACACCTGTGTAGCCACCACCAGGCTTCATCAAATCTCAATATTAACCACATTTTCCACATTTGTCTGTCACTCTCCCTCACTCTTCAATAAAACATCACAGATATAGAGTTGAGGAAGCTCTAGTAGCATAGTGCCTAAGGCACTTGACTGCTAACCAGAAGGCTGGCAGTTCAAACCCACCAGCCACTCCTCGGAAGGAAGATGGGCAATCTACTTCCGTAGTGATACAGCCTTGGAAACCCAAGGAAGGGTCGCTATAAGTTGGGGACGACTCGATGGCACATAACAACAATGTGATTTTACAACATGATATTACTCCTCTTGCTATAGTTCTTAAATGTGCATTTCCTTAGGTCTGCAAAGATTTTTTTGAGAAGGAGGACTAGGTTGTCTATTTTTAGATCCTCCATGGTATACTGTACAGAATATGTGCTGCATAAATATTTGTTGAAAATTATTTCACGAATTAAAATTAGTAAGAAAAAACAAGAAAAACAAAGCACATGTAAATCAAACGTTGGACCTACCACATGGCAACAGGAAAGCTATGTAAACTTCTCTAAACTACCATTTCCTTATTTGTAAAATGAGGATACCACTACCTTTCTACCACTTATTTCACAGCACTGTTACATTACAGCAAAGAATGTGGACAATAGTGCCTAATATATGGTGGCACTCAGAAACTATTTTTCTTTCATTATATGTTTGTTTTTCACATTTAGTGGCAAGTTCTTTGCATAATTCAGATCCATAATCATGACATTCCGAAAGTATTTGGTAAAAATAGCCTATGTAGAAAGAATATTTTAAAAATGGTGATGGGTTGTTCATTTGAAAAAAGATACAAGTTATATCTCTATATCTTATACCATTTCCCAAAACTAATTCAGCATATATTTAAGATCCAAATTAAAAAACACATATATATGGAAGGAAACTTTCTTTGTTGGTTACCAGGAGTGGGAGAGGAGTGGGAGGGGAGGGGAGGGACACTGCAAAAATTTTAAAAATAAATAAATAATAATTAAAACAATTTTTTAAAAACCATAAAAATGCCAAAATAACATATAAAAGAAACCTTAAAAGATCTTAAAGTGGGAAAGAGCTTTCTAAATATAACAGGGAAAATCAATATATGGCTGATGCCAGAAAAATTTCCATTACAGTAATTTTTGCTATTTCACTTTTTAAAATGAATCTTTCAGAGGAAGAGGTACTGTTATAATCACTAATGGTACCCACCGTTCAATAAGTCCTTAGTGAACTAATACAAAAACACTAGATTGCCCATTTGAGCTTAAACTTTAAAAATATATAATAGTCAATTTTATCTTCATTAACGGTATTTTGAACATTATTAAATAACATCAATCCCTCATACTAGTATTGCCTTGTTAATAACAATATTTTATACACAGGTATGCTCTCATTAATTATGCTTGTAATAGAAAATACCTGGAAATAATTTTATAAATACAACAGTGGAAATAAGTTAAATAAATTAAGGTTCAACCATATAATAATTTCTATTAATGAGATATTTCTCATTATAATTTGTTTGGTTATTAATGTTTCTAAATTTTTTCACTGGCTTATTATTTGCTTTTCTTCTTAAAATTTTCCATTTACATTTCCCATTTTTATACTGGATTATGTCTTACTCATTTGTAAAAGATGTTTGTATATGTGGATCTTAGGTCTATGATATGCATGTGGCAAATATTGTCTCCCAATTTTTTATGAATCCTTTAACTGTATTTATAGTGTCTTTAAGGCCATCCTTGGCTACTAACCAAAAGGCTGGCAGTTCGAACCCACCTAGTAGCTCCCTGGGGAAAAGATCTGATGATCTGCTTCCTTAACAGTTACAGCCTAGGAAACCTCTCTGTAGCAGTTCTACTCTGACACATGGAGTCAAGTGTGCATTAGAATCTACTCGACGGCACCCAACAACAACTATAGTGTCTTTTGCTGTATAAAATTACTAAATTTCTTATGCAGTAAAAAAGCTACTCTCTTGTGGCAACTACACTTCTTCTTTCCCAAAGGAAGTGTGAATTGCTAATAAGTTTATGGCCACTATTTTTAAGCAACATATGCCCAAAACACAGTATTCTGTTCTGTACAATGACTTACCCATGAATACTATATGCAGATACACTTGTCTAAAATTATTTTTGTGAGAATACCTCATTGGCTCACCCTGCCATTTTGTAACAATGAAGGTTGCTGGGATTGGGTGATGTCTAGATGGGTGTTTTATTGTGCTAGTTTCTATTTTGTGTATGATGTTTAAAGATTTCTGGATGGGTGTATTATTGTACTATTTTGCATATGATATTTGGAGATTTCTATAATAAAAAACAAAATAAAAAATATAAAATAGACAAATTTGGAAGGCACTCTGGGGGCTCAGTGGTTAAAGCATTCAACTGCTAACCAAAAGGTCGCCAGTTTGAACCCCACCAGATGCTCAGTGGGAGAAAGATGCAGGCAATCTGCTTCCGTAAAGATTTACAGCTTTGGAAACTATGTAAGGCCATTCTAATCAACTCAATGATAGTGGGTTTGGTTTTGTTTGGTAGACCAATTTGGGGCAGATCCCAAAACAATTTCTAACAGGAAGAAATCATTTAGAAAAAAATATCTGAAGATTCTGAAAATAAAGACATACTTAGCAGAGCTTGTGTAAAAAACTGATATTCATCCACACTATTGTCAAGGTCAAGTGGAGTGCTGAATCCCTCAAGAGCAGTTTCTTCCAATACTTCTTCATCCCAGTCTTCATCATCTTCCTCCTCATCTTCACCTCTTCCACTATTTGACTGCATTGCCTGAGCAGTTACATTTGTCTCCTCTTCATCACTTGATATTTCCTCTGTGAATCCATTAATTATTTCAAATGAATTAAAACACATTAGGGCAAAATATAAAATTTGATGGAAAAAAACAAAAATTACCAAATAATATTGTAGAACTGGTAAAATGACCACATAATTTTACTTAAAATTATTAAAATATGCTTCATCTTTACTGTAGTCTGCTAAATCTGGTGGCGAAGTGCCTAAGGCATTTGACTGCTAACCAGAAGGCTGGCAGTTCACACCCACCAGCCACTTCTCAGAAGGAAGACTGGGCAATCTACTTCCATAGAGTTACCACCTCGGAAACCCAAGGAGGGGTCGCTATGAGCCAAATCAACTGGATGGCAGTAACTTTGGTTTTTTTGAGTTTTACTCTCCTCGCTGAAAACAATTTCCAACTGTTCCTAAATCTACGCACCAGCTGTGGACTTTACTATTTGATGGCTGCCTCAAACTCCAAGGGGGTCGCTACTGAGTCAGAATTGACTTGATGGCAGTGAGTTTGGTTTTTTGTTTTGTTTTTTTTTTTGCCCATCTTGATTAACAAAAGAGTTTTATTTAACTGCAGATTTTCTATTAACTTCTTTTCATTACATAAAAATTTAAGAAAAGAAGATATGAAATTATTGAGCAATCAGTACATGTGTTGTAAACACCAATGACCTCCACTTGAAAATGAAGGTCTTTTAACAATTAAGTTGATTCTGAACTGCTCAAAATGCCCAAATAAGGCAGCCATATGTGCTAAAAGAAATAGTGAAAATAATAAAATGTAAAGGAAAAAAAAAGCAGTTACTACAGGTGGGTTGAAAAGCTAAAAGCTGAATGGCATATTACCATGGTTTCCATTTCTATTTTCAGTGCCAGTCTGTTCCAAGCAGTTAGACCAGTATTGTAACTAATCAGAAGGTAATAAATGCAGAACAAATCAACATCAGAGGAAAAACCTAGAATAATTCCAACCAGGCAATATTAATCTAAAATAAGTTCTATAAAGTACACCATAAGGAAGTATCTGGATGAAACACCAAAGTAGTTCTAATTAGGGATAAGGCAAGAAGCCATAGTTTGAACCAAATACATTGGGGAGAAGGAAGAGAACAGGGAAAGAGTATCATTACAAAGATGGTTAAAAAAAGAAAAATACCTTTGCTAGTTAAAATAAGAACGTTTGGGGTACTATGAGAAAATTTTCCTATAAGCCATGACTTTTTAAGTCAATAAATAATAAGGAAAGACATCAGATAAAGAAACAATTATAACATGCTGGAAAAGGAATTCTGTATCTTATAATTGTTAGCCTACATCTAATGAAAAAAATCAAAAATAAACAAACTTCGAGTGATGAAGCACACTGCCAAAAATCTACACTGCCAAGAATTCAGGAAGCAGACAAGTGAGAATGTGTGCTTTGTGCTGGGGGTGAGGGGAGTCTAGTTTACAACTCCTCATATACGAACAAACTGGGAGGATGCCAGTTAAATGAAAAATGGCTTAAACCTATGCATGGTAAAACCAGAGAATTTAACATCAAAACAGAGTTGCATGTTTTCCAGGAAGAGTTCTGATTTTTCTCAGTAAAAAAAGTGTTTTGAACTAAAAGAGGAAAAGCTCCATTTGGAGTTGACTAATCCTACTTCCTGGGTCCTAACAAGCAGTTTTGCAATCTCTTCAGTAAGTAAAACAAAGGTCTAACATAATTTTATATTAATCTATAATCTTATTGTGACTCGATTTAAGCACAACATCTTCATTTATGTACTTTGTTCTAAATTCATAAACTTGAAATATATCTCTCAATTATACATTTTGATGAGTTACATAAAAACTATTTTTTTGGGAAGTACAGACAACAAATATGAACCCTTTTGCATATACAGTACTGAGTTGTCAGTGAAGGCAAACATGGGTATATGGATGGATAGATAGGTGGACAGGCTAAACAATTAAGTATGTCTAAATGGGGAGTGTATCCAAGATCATATGTAGGGTTGGCAGACAATGGTCCTATAAGTTTATGGAATGATCAGAATTCCTAAATGTATAGTAGAGCTGTCAAGGGGCAAGGTTGTTGTCACTGCTTGGTCACAGCCAGCTACCCAGAGCAACTGAGTACTTGAACCTGCGGGCTTGGGACCATAGTCACAGGGGACATCAAGCTCAATTGGCATAATATACTATACAAAACATTGTTCTACATCCTACTTTGGCGAGTAGCGACTGGGATCTTAAAAGCTAGCAAGCTGCCATCTAGATGCAACGATGGGTCTCTCCTTGTCAAGAAGAAAGAAGAAAACCAAAATTAATGGAAACAGTTAGTCCTAGCGACTGGTACACCATCCGATCTGCAACCTATACAACTATGAGACCAGAAGAACTAGATGGTGCCCGGCTACCACTGTCATCCACTTGGAAGGGATGTAGGAGATCCTGCACAGAGAGGGAGAACAATGTGGAACAAAACTCAAAATCATTTGGAGGCAAAAAAAAAAAAGAAGAAGAAGAAGGTGGGGACCAGGTTTGCTGGTCCAATAGAGCCTGGTGGAACCACTGAGACTATGGCCCTGAGCTGCCCACACCTGTGGTTTCCAGCCAAAGTACAGGCATGTGAATTAAACATTTACCTCAAGTAGACACACGCCCTGGAGAGAACAATCATGGGAGAAGGAAGGGCTGCTTATGCACAGGGAGACAGCTCAGGGAGCAGGAGAGTATGGAGGGATGGACACTGGGAAACAGTAACTATGGGGAGGAAGTGGGAGGGGAGCTGTTACATTGTGGTAAATTTTGGTCAATGACATGAGACAAAGTATATGTGAACCGCTGTATGAAAAGTGAATTTACTCTGTGAATCTTCACCCAAATCAAAATAAAATTAAAAAACTATTTTTTTAATCTGATTAAAACAAAAACTGAATTTTTAAAATCAGGTATTCTCTACTAATCTGCAGTACTGACACTTTTGTTCTTAATCTAATGGTTTATTTAACTAATGACTATTGCCTTCTCTGAGACTGTCAGAACACACACATAGGAAAATACTGGGTTCCTGACCTGCTGTCAAGGCCATTTGATTTTGTTACAAATAAATGTATTTCCCAATGTGTAACAGCATCCATGAGCTCAGCAAGAACTCATTGGGAGTTTAAGTGTCAAGAGGTACATAAATCTGAATTGTCACCACATGATATAACTAACAGCAAGTGAACCAAGCACATAACATTTAGCAGCATGCCAAAGGACATAAAAATGAAAATCTGTTTAATGACTCCAAATAGACTAAAATTTAAAAAAAGCTCAAATCAAAATCAATCCTAGCATTCATTGTAATTAGAAGACTTTACCATTTTCTTCTATTTCAGCTTTCTCTGCTTTTGAGTGATCTCCCCGGTCTAGCAATTGTCTAGAAGCACAGACCTGCTTTAGGCCAAGGAAGAGGAAAAGAATTGAGGGAACAATCTGTCCCACCACAGCATCCACTGCAGGAGGTCGATTCTGCAATTGCAAAAGAATACTCAGTCCTATTACACACATCTTCCGGTCATGATGCCTGCAGATTTTCAAGGGAAAAAAAAAATGTGGACATGAGAAATGCAATAAAAGACAAATTCTGGAGAGACTCTAAAGAGAAACACCCAATGTTCCCTCACTGAAATTACAGAAACATTTCCCCATTTTTTACTAAAGTGAAACTTGTGAGAGCTGGAACCCAATGGAACTACCTTGTTTTTCCAGGTCTCACAAATTTCCCAGTTTGGAAAGGGGGAAGTCTTATCACTTTTTTAATCTCTTTCTATTAGTGGAAATAATTTTTTTGTTTCCTGCTCTGACAGGTTTCCACCTTACACATGTTCTAGCAATCACAGGTTTTACTGCATATGAAATCCTTTACAATTTGTAAATGAATTATTATTGTCAAAGATCTAGGAAGTCTGAAATTAGCATGGTGAATCTTGCTGTCACATTAATTTATAATTAATATAATTACTATATCTAGATTTTGGCATAACAAGTTTTATCGAAGCAAGAATATCTGTATTTGACAGCATAAAATTCCAGTACAATGAAAAAAATGAAGAGTTCCTTAGACTTTTTCTTCATTATATTGGTCTACAAGGTTTCTTGGCACACATACCCTACACTAACTCCAAGTGTCAAAAGCTATTTCAAAAAAAGCTGTAATAATGGGTGGGGAGGGAGAAAGCTGTTTTAGTATCCAATAACTCAGCTATAAGAACAGCTATAGGTCAAATCTATTAAAAGTCCTCTGCTAGAACACAAGAAAAGGAAAATGTAATTCTGAAGGAAAAAAAAGTTCACTAATATATACTACACACATTTTTCTACTAAATGTTTCCTCTAAGTTTTTTAAAACTAAAAATATTAAGAATAAAAACATTACCATAGTGGTATAACACTTTCAAATTGGAGACATGAACAAAATTTATTTCCAGTGACTCAATTTGTTTAGAATGGGAGTAATATAGTAAACAAAATAAACCCTATGAAGAATATATTGCAAGCTTCTGTTATTTTTCATTACTTGCACTGCTTGATTCATTCAAGTTACTAATGCCAAAGCTATACGCTATGACCAGAACTGTACATGACCTAAGGTCTTTCTCATACTTACAGCCTATAACTAGCAGTGCACATCAAGTGCCACTGGTTCACAGCAGTTAAGATGATTAGCAAGCGGGGCTCTATAAAGAATCCAAGGTAGCACAGGTGGGATGCCAAGTCCATTCAATAGCTAAAAGAGATACTCTTTCTATCTTTGGAAAACTGTATATAGATGCTAATAAGTTTGCCAACTACAAACTGTGAATGACCAAATCCGTACCCACTAAATCTTTGTCAGTGATAACTTTAGCATTTAGCACTCACTCACTCACTCACTGCTGTCGAGTCGGATCTGACTCATAGCGACCAGACACATATTTCTTTTTAAACTATGTTCTTCCCTTCAAGGCTTTAAAAGTAAATCACAATCATGCCCAAATTCCAAACTCCTATATGCAGAAAATCAGAACACACACAGCAGCATGCAAATATGTTTCCCCTCCATTCCAATTCCACCATCCTAATCCAGGCCTCCATCATCTCCCACCTACGGAGCTGTCTGCTGGACATCTTTTCCCCTCAGCAAATATTTCTAAATGTTGTCTTGTAAAACTTAAAAAGACTAGTTATTTCCAGTGCTTTTACTGAATTAGATGTCAATCTAGCTCAAATTCTAACATAATACAGTCACTAATATGTACTGGCAACTTGAGGTGGGCACATAACCACTACTCAGTATCTCACTTTTCCTGTGTTTGAAAACTAAGAGAGCACCTCACACAAAGTCAAACTCTCCTATCAGGCTAGTACCTGGGCTAACAACAACAATACTTCTGTCCCCACATTTGAGAACAAGCTCCCCTGAAATCTGCAAATGTCAAATATCCTGGGACAGTACCATATGACTTTGCCAGACTGGTACCTTCTTTAGAAACCTGACTCCATTTATAATTAATTTAACCCACAGACACTCAGTAGTCATGAAACCCTATGGACACTTAATTCTTGTTGCCTAGAGATATAAGGATACACATAAGGTAAAAACAAGTACAGAAGGGCTATGTTTAACTTTCAGAGCCTGTATTCTTTCCACAACATTTTGTTGTTGAAACACATTCATAATTCTCTAAAAATTAAATATTATGCTAGCAGCACACCAAATATAATGTTTGTTGTTTGTTGTTGTTATATGCCGTCGAGTCGGCCCCGACTCATAGCGACCCCTCCTTGGGTTTCCAAGGCAGTATCACTACAGAAGTAGATTGCCCCATCTTCCTTCCGAGGAGTGGCTGGTGGGTTTGAACTGCCAGCCTTCTGGTTAGCAGTCAAGTGCCTTAGGCACTATGCTACCAGAGCTCCTATAATGCTTAAGATATAAGATATGAAAATTTTCTTACTGCTATTATATATATACATATTAAAAAGTCAACTCTCTAGAAATAGAAATGCGGTGTAAAATCCAAAAGACACTCACCCAAGAAAACAATCTGTATCATTCATCCACTGATTTATAAACTGTACAGTTATAGGTCCAGGGTTGTGAGGTAACTGAATTCGCTCTAATGTATGTAGCAGCAAATCAGGGTTGTAGTACAAGGCAGCAATCGCAACCTGAAGACACATAGTACGGAGCTCACTAGTTTTAACTCCTCGGGTTAATCTCTCCAAAACAAGTTGAACAAAGAGTGGGATGCACTAGAGGAAGAAAAAAAGATAGTTCATGCACAGAGCAACCAAGTAACTTTTATGGAAGGCCAAATGTTGGCAAAAGAGTGTTGACAAGAAATTAGACAGTTTTAACAAAGAAATCTATGAAACTCCTGCTTATTTAGACAGCTTTTAGAGTTATTAAACAAATTTATATTCTCAAAAAATGAGATTAAACAGCCAAAAAAAAAGGGGGGGGGGTTTCCTAGAGTAGTGCCAGGAAATTTCTTTCCTTTGCAAGTGCAAATTAGAGTTAGCTGAAGATTGCCCTCTAAGCAGCCATACTCAAAATGTGAACTTGGCCATTTCCATGTTTAAGGTAAAGTGTTACGGTGGGATTTTTCTTGGATAAATCAAATTGGAAATAAATGAATGGAACTGAGAATAAACATGATGTGAGCAGAATTTCTCATAAGAAAATTCCTCTTGATACAAGTAAAAGAAGAAAAACACTAAAAAGAAAGAAAAAAAGGCACACTCAGCACATTAAAACCAAATTATCTGACTAGAAATTTTAAGTGCAATATTAACTAACTTTATTAGAAGTATTTCCTGATAATTATTACTAGTTAAAAGGGATGGGCTGAAATGAGTTGTATAAAATAAAATTCTGAGGTTTTAACAGAAGCTTATTTTAAAATTAAACTTTAAAATTCAAAGTTTCATGTAGAAATTAAAAAGTTAAATTTGAAATGTTTTGCTCAGTAAGTTAAACTATAAATTCAAATACTAGCCTTGTCTAGGATAATACACTAAATCAAGAAAACTAGACTACATTAATACTTTTACGAGTAGGAATTTACAAAGAAGGTATGATCAATTGGATTAATTCTGTATTAATTTCTTATATTCTGATAGAGAGCATTCTGTCTGTGTGTTCTGATTTTACAGCATAAAACATATAGACTATATAACTGTGGTGATAATTATAGCTCTGGTAGCATAGTGCCTAAGGCACTTGACTGCTAACCAGAAGGCTGGCGGTTCAAACCCACCAGCCACTCCTCGGAAGGAAAGTTGGGCAATTTACTTCCATAGTGATAACGCCTCGGAAACCCAAGGAGGGGTCGCTATGAGTCAGGTCCGACTCGACAGCACATAACAACAACAACAACAATAATTAAGACGCTCTGGTGGCGTAGTGGATAAGGCAATTGTCTGCTACCTAGAAGGTCAGTGGTTCAAACCCCCCAGCTGCTCCATGGAAGGAAGATGGGTGATCTATTTCCATAAAGATTTACAGCTTCAGAAACCCAATGGGGGTCACTATGAGTCAGATTCTAATTGATGGCAGTGAGTTTGGTTTTTGGTTTTATGGTAATAATTAGCCACAATAAATGTAAAGTTTAAAAAGCTCCTCTTGAGAGGCTTTAAAAATAAACGTTTTCATTTTTCTCAATCAATGTATCTCTACTATTGTGCAAAGCCATTAAGAAGACAAGGAAACACTGACGTTTTAAATCTAACAAAGGTAAAGTTCTCCTTTATATTATATTAATACAAAATCAAAGAACACCATCGAGAAAGTGAAAAAAAACCACCCACTGACGAGAAGATTTCTGCAAATCACATATCTGAAAAGATTGTAGTTTCTCAATCTAGAATATATATAAGTAAAAAAAGAAAAACTCAACAATAAAAAGACAAATAGGCCAATTTTAAAATGTACAGAAGATCTGAATAGATTTTTTTTTCAAAAAATATAGCAAACGGCCAATAAGCACATGAAGAGATGCTTCGTATTATGACCCATCAGGGAAATTTAAATTAAAACCACAAGATACCATTTCATACCTACTAGGATGGCTATAATTTAAAAAAAGAAAGAGAGACATATAATTACAAAATTAGTAAGAATGCAGAAAAATTAGAATTGTCATTTACCGGTGATGAGAATGTAAATCAGTGCAGCCACTTTGAAAAACAGTCTAATGGCTCCTCAAATGGTTAAACATAGAATTACCATATAACCCAGCAATTCCACTCTCAGGTATATATTCAAGAGAAATGGAAATTTATTACTGTTGTTGCTAGGTACCATAGAATCGGTTCTGACTCACAGCAGCAACCCTATGTACAACAGAATGAAACACTGCCAGTCCCGTGGCACCATCCTCACAACTGTTGCTATATTTGAGGCCACTGTGGCAGCTACAGTGTCAATCCATCTTGTTGAGGGTCTTCCTCTTTATCAGTGACCCTAAACTTTCCCTCAACATAAAGAAAACAAAATCCTCACAACTGGACCAGTAAGCAACCAACCCAAAAAAAAACCCCACTGCCGTAGAGTCAATTCTGACTCATCACAACTCTCTAAGACAGAGTAGAAGGTGATTAAAATGGACCCATTTTCTAATGGAATACCATGAAATGAGGTAAAAAGCTGGCCTTTTGACTCTCAAAACTTACCTTGTGTGATACTAAGTTCCTGCTTGCCCTCTCTACCCCATTAACCCACTGCCATGGAGCCAATTCTAACTCATTAAGGAGCTCTGGTGGCGTAGTGCCTAAGGCATTTGACTGTTAACTAGAAGGTTGGTGATTCAAACCCACCATTTACTCTGCGGAAAGAAGATGGGGCAATCTACTTCCATAAAGATTTACCACCTCAGAAACCCAATGGAGGTTGCTGTGGGTCAGAGTCGACTTAATGGCAGTGAGTTTGGTTTTTTGTGTGTGTATGTGAAGTCAATTCCAACTCACAGAGACCCTATAGGACAGAGCAGAACTGCCCCATAGGGTTCCCAAAGCTGTAAATTTTTATGGAAGCAGAGTGCCACATCATTCTCCTACAGAGCAGCTGGTGGGTTCAAACCACCAACCTTCCAATTAGCAGCTGAGCACTTTAACTACTGCACCACCAGGGCTCCTCCAATAAGCAGCATCACAGAAACCTGTACGAATAGCAACATTATTCATAATAACCAACATGATATATCCACAGGACGAAATATTTGACAGTAAAAAGAAATGAAGTACTGATACATGTTACAACATAGGTGACATTGAAAACATGACAAACCGCAAACCACAAAGGACCACATACTGCATGATTCCATTCATATGGAATGTCCAAAACAAGCAAAACTATAGATAGAGAAAACAAGAATTTGGGTTGTCAAGGGCTGGGGACTTGGGAACAAATGAAAAGGAACTATTAATGGGTACCAAAAAAACCCATACCCTACTGCCACTGAGTTAATTCCAACTCATAGTGATCCTATAACACAGAGTAGAACTTCCCCATAAGGCTTCCAAGGCAGTAAATCTTTAGAGAAGCAGACTGCCTCATCTTTCTCCCACAAAGTAGCTCTTCTGTTCAGACCACCAACCTTTTGATTAGCAGCCAAAAGCTTTAACCATGGTGGAATAAAGAAAATGTTCTAAAATTGATTGTTGTAATGGTGGCACATCCACGAATATACCAAAAACCACTGAATGTAAACTTTAAGTGAGTGTATTGTAAGATATGTGAATTTTATCTCTAAAGCTACATGGAGCAAAAATTACAGAACTGAAAGAAAAAAAAGAGACAAAGCCACAATTAATCCTTGAAGACTAACACTGTCTTCTCAGTAACTGAGTATCTATCATACATCATAACAGTATCTATCATATATCATAACAGTATTTAATGAATTAATCTTAATTGAGAATTTGTAATAGTTTTTGAACTGGTCAAGAGAAACGTTTCTTTTTATTTTTCCTTTTTTTTTGTACTGTATCTTAATTTTGGATTAAAAAAGGTAACTGGGGGAATTTAAGTAGTATACACAAAAACAAAGTGTACATATCTCTGCACATTCACACCTTGTAAAAATCAGCATTGTATTTTTCTGTGTTGGTTCAAGCCCACCAGGCTGCTCCATGGAAGGAAGATGGAGCAATCCACTTACATAAAGATTTATCACCTCAGAAAACCAATGGTGGTCACTGTGACTTGGAATCAACTCAATGGCACAGAGTTTGGATTTTTGGTTTATCCCTTTCTCAGTTAGAATGCATTATATTTATATTTGCAATTATAAAAATATAATGCTGACTTTTAAAATAATAATTTAAGCAGTTATCAATAAAAATAATGGAGATAAATGTATAAATTCTACTCATTTGGGTTCGCGGAGATGTGACTGTGCAGAGATATCTACACTTTGTTTTTGTGTACAGTACTTAAATTCTCCCAGTTATCTTTTTTAACCCAATATTAAGATACTGTACAAAAAAAAAGGAAAAATAAAAGAATGCAAAGTATAATTTCCAAATGGCATGGGTAATTTTCCTTATCATTTAAATAGGATTTGCAACAGCAGGTACAAACTATAGGCTATCTTTTTAAGTTTCCATCATAACATAAACAAAATGCTAATGAGGCATATACAGTTTAAATGTGAGCATCAGGTAACATACTTTCTAGACATGTCTTACCTGATCGATTCCCCTTCCTTTGCACTGAAGAATGATGACTTCAAGAAGTTTGGCTGCATGGCATTCTGCATCTTCTCCTGCATCTCCAGACAGTACCTGGAGTAATTTCAACAATTTAGCTCAGCATCCAGTGGCATTATATGGCATTAACCAAGTCTTCAAGAAGCAACTATCCCATATAAACTCAACCACAAGATGCATAACTGCTTGCTTTGCAAATTCCTCTTTCCAATTCAAAAGAAGGCAAAATAAGCAATGTCTGTCTGTCCATTCTATCTATGCTCATTCCTTATACATAAAGAAGAATAATTAACTTATTTGACTTTGGATTAATGAAGCAGGTTATCCAAGCTAATTGGGAAGATAAATGAAGCCTCTCTTTAAAGGCCTCAAAACAACAAAGTAATGAAATGAAAATGAAAACTAAATAAGCTTCTATCAAAATAATAATAAAACAAACCCTGTTCTTTTTGAATGCTTGTCCATATGCATGCATATTTTTCGTAATAACCAGAATATGACACACATTTTAATTTTCCTACAAGAAAAATTTTGCATGGACTTTATAATCATTCAAGACTATATAGTTTTACAGTAGATGGTATAACAAAGTTAACTAGACTGTTCCAATACTGTTAGGTAATTGCACTATTGTACACAATTCTCTAGAGCCCTGGTAGCCCAATGGTAAAGCTCCCTGCTGCTAAGTAAAAGGTCATAGGTTCAAATTCACCAGCAGTGCCATGGGAGAAAAGACTTGGCAATCTGCTTCTATAATGATTACAACCTTGGAAACCCTATGAGTTCTACTCTGCCCCACACGGTCACTGCGAGTTAGAACCAACTCAATGGCACACAACAATGAACAATTCTCTAATGCACATGTTCATGCATAAAATTTGGAATACAGATGCCATACACACGGTACTGAGAAAAGAGTTTCCTAGATCAGAACACTCTTATATTAGAAATTAAGAAACATGAAAAAATTAACAATAGAAAAAATGAGATAACATTTTACCAAAAGATACCAAAGACTAACCAAGCAGACAAACTTTTGCCAGGAAAAAGCAAAGAAAGATAAACTAAAAATAATTCAATGAAAAAAGATATAATTACATATAAAAGAAAAATAAGAGATTACTATTAATAACACTATATTCTTTATATATTTGAAAACTTGGATGAATTTGATAATTTTAAAAAACTGAACCATAAAGAAATTCCCAATAAAGATGATAGTCTGCACACTCTCATTAATTTCATTCCCTCTCAAAAGCCCACAAAAATGACCAGAAAGATATTTTAAAGACATAAACCCACAAAGACAGGTAAAAGGGAAAGACAGAGCAATAAAATTTCCAGCAATAAAAATCTGGAAAACACATGGATCAGTGATAACTGACTTAGCAGAAGCAAGAATGCTGAATCGTAAACAGGCAGCAGGCAAAGCCAAGAAGCAACCCAGTTCACACAAGCATAAAATTCCACCTCTAGTGTATATAGATCTAGAGTTTAAATGAGAATGGGCTCTGGATCCATAATGTCGCAGCTCAAATCCCAGCTCTGCACTTACCATCTGTTGGTTTCAGGAAAGCTACTACTTACTATCTTACTGTCCCCATCAATAAGATGAGGATAATAATAGTACTTATCTTCATGAGGTTGTATGATATACAAGGAGGGGCACACTCACTTTTCCCAAAATTGTCTACTTTTTTTTTAGGCCAAAAGGAAGGAAATAATACATATTTTAGTAATTAAGGCTATGCTCTGGAACTTAACTTGTTGTTGTTGTTGTTGTTGTTGTTGTTAAGTGCCGTCGAGTCGTTTCCGACTCATAGCGACCCCATGCACAGCAGAACGAAACACTGCCTGATCCCGCGCC